CAATCTGCAGCTGTACTTCTGTGGTACTGGGGATTGAACCCAGGGCCTTTACATTGCTCTACATTCCCAGCCTTTTTAAAATTTTTTGTGTTTTAATATTGAAACAGGGTCTTATTAAATTATTAAATTGCCCAGGCTGGGCTGGGCTTAAACTTGTGATCCTCCCAAGGTACTGGGAGGTAGGAAGAACATGTTGCAATGATAAGGGAACAAGAGAGGAGGGAGAGGGAAGAGAAGGAAAGGAAAAGGAAAAAAAGACAGGAGGAAATAATGAAAACAAAGCTCTTGTAAATGGGAAGGGGAAGAAGGACTGAAGGGAAGGGAGCAGAATGAGGAAAAAAGAAGAATTAAGATATATTATGTACAGGTACAAATTACAGGTACAAATTCCACATGATCATTGTGATCATTGTGTTATGACAAATATGTACTAATAAAAAAATAAAGTTAAAACAACAACAACAACAAAAACCAAACAAACTTGTGATCCTCCTCCCTTAGGCTCCCAGAGTGTGGGTATTACAGGCAAGTGCTAAGATGTCTGGTTTCAACACCTATTAAGAACAGTGTGACCATAAGCACGTTATTTCTGTATCTCAGTTTCTTCATGAAATACATAGAAACAGCCAACTCAGGATTATTATGAGTATCACAAAAAGTAAAGTATTTCAATCATGGCACACTGTAAAAGAAATTAACAAGTTTGATTTTTAAAAATGTCTTTTGCACTTAGTATTACAATTTTAAAATTGGGCAATGGGCTTCTTTTGGTGTCACAATAAATTTAGGCCAGATTCAAATTATACAAATAAGAATAACATTTGGATGATATGAATATATATATGTTAGTAACGTATCAGGGATTGATGAAGTACATTTCTTTTAAGGGAAGGGAAACAGGAGCTCAATCATTCATAGTAAAAACAAAGCTGTAATTCCTTTGATACTATCATAGAAATAATTAGAGGTAGAAGTTTGAATACTGCTATGGTTTATAGTTAGATGTCCTGCAAAAGCCTCATGAATTCATAGGTGGAGCTTTCGGGAACTGATCTTATCATGAGAGTGAGGTGCTTACCAGTGGATTAGTCCACTGATGATTATGTAGCTGGTATGATGTTGGGAGCTAAAGCCTGGTAGGAAAAGCTGAGTCACTGTGGGTGTGGCCTGCAAGGTTCTGTATCCCTCTTCCTCCATTGATCTCTCTCTGTTTCCTGCCTACCTTGCCATGGACTGTTTCTCCTCTGCTAGGCC